ATTTTTAAAGTTAAGTTTAAACTTACTTAATGCTGATCGGTAAGATGGCTGCACGTAGACACCTGGCAATTTCTGCTTTACAACCAAGGTACTGCAATTAGAGTCAGTATTTAGAATAGCTCCACAACTACACTAAATCTACAGCAAGCTGACAACAGTAAACCCAGAACACACTACCAATAGCTTAACAGGGGACTTCTTCCACAAACTTACACTCAATTCCCGGGGGCAGACTGCTCACAGAAGGAAGTGGCAGAAAACTAGTGAAACCATACTCTTTCACTCTTGCTTTTCCTACCCCTCCACTTAAAGAGTTCCTATCAGGAAACATTACTTCTCCCAGTAAAACTATAAGTAGAGAAAAAGAAAAAAATTCTTCCCCCAGCAGATGCACTGAGTGCATGTCAGTACTGAAATTTCCACTTTTCTACCAAATCCCCAGTTTCAAAGTAAATAAGAAAAAAAGAAATGCAATTTTGAATGCAAATTTGCAGTCAATTGTAGCTGAAATGTGACCAAACTTTAACATCAATTTTAAATGGGTAGTTTTTCAGTTTTAGATGAGACTATGCTGCAGGTCCAACAGAAATTACACTGACAAAACAGAGAATAAAAAGGGCAGTCAAGAAGCAGCGCATATTAGACATCTCAATGGAGTGACTCCAGGCATCTCACTAACAGGATGGACCAAGTAATTTTCCCAAACTTCCACTTATTTGCTATTTCACTTCTTGTTATGATAATCCACTCACGATCTTCAGTCATCAATGACCAATGCATTATGAAAAGAGTTTCTACCCCTCCCTTTGCCTTTTAGGAAAGTTCATTTAATAATAAACAGTACTACCAGGGCAAAATGTGCTATTTTTACTATTTTTCAAAGCAATGAGCACAAGAAGTTGCTAGTAAGTTTAACCAGGTATAGTTCTATGGTATGCAGATTCTACTGAACACTATAAATGATAAACCAAATTATTCGCTTCATAGGTTTTCCAGTTACTTGGCATATAGGTCCGTTAAATTGAACTCCGGATGCTTGTACAAATAAGCAATAATCTTAAAGCAAAATATAACACAGTTCTCTGCTTACTATGTCCACATTATTCATTATTATTTCCCTAACAATGAATTTGTTAGACTAGAGGAGTTTACATTATGATACCAATATATTTTTGCATGCTGCAGAAGAAAAACATCTTTCTTGAATTAAGAAGTCAGGGTCAGTTCCCTGAAAAAAAAATAAATTAATGTTTCCAGAGTTCTCACTTTCAATTTAATGGTTAAATACAAGAACTGAGACTTAGTGTTGCATAAGGACTCCAGGGATTTCATTCCAAAAGGCACTACATACTTGAGAATCCAGTATGTCTGTGACAGAGGAAGGCCCTTCAGCTTTGTAGCAAAAAACCAGTTTATGTAACTTTATATAACCAGAAAGTTTTGCAGACAGATAGAGATTTGTATGCTCCCACAGCAGTCTACAAATCACTAGATTGGATCAAACGCAACTGATCCAAAGCAAGTTATCTAAATTGCACTAACTCCTCCCTCCTAAGTTTCATGTTAAATATCACTGAAAAAAAGGAAAGAATATAGTCTTCCTAATATCCATTTAATAAGCTGTATCAGGCAGCGTCCAAGCGTTCTATGTAACAACTGAAGGAAGGTCTCACATCCTAAGTCCGCTAGACAGTACCATACATGCATAACCATCTTCCCACTAGACACCTGCTTGCTTCTATTTTAATACTTGTTTCAAAAATTTGGTATTTCTGACCAAAAAGGTATTAGGATAACTGGTCAGAATGCCTAAACCCAAAATATGTATTTACTTCAAGACTGAGAAATATAATAATTGAGAGAATCACATCTAAACACACCCCTTAAAAATCTCATCTCATTTTCCTCTCCTCTTCTACCTCAAGAGATTGAAACTGCTGCTCCAGAAAAAGAATTTTATAGAAAATAAGTTCTACTGCCTTCTTCAAGGACTATGGCAGAGACATCATGCAAGAACTAGATCCCTGGAAGTTTTTTTCCCACTGAAGCATAAGCCCAGTGACCTAAAGACGACAAAAAAAGTGAAAACCTACAATTCTGCAAGGAGGGAATACTCCAAATAAAAAGGCCCATAGGAAGCATGTGTTCCATTTGTCGACTGGGATGACGTGGCAGGTGAAGCAGGCTTGGTTATTGGCACAGCATTCTTTGGAATAGAAGGCAACTGTTTCTTTGTAGAGGTTCGTAGAGGACTGGTTCTCAGCTCTCCACTCAAAGTTTTCTCTTCAGCGTCAGGTCTCTGTTAGATTAAAAGAGAACCACAAGATTACAGGCCATATTTCATGAACTTAAAATATGAACGTATTTTAACACAGGTTTAAACCAAACCTGCTAATGACAAGTTTGGCCAGTGAAAGGTATCTTGGGTTTTGGTGTTCTATTGCTTGGGGATACGGGTGATATCTCTTCGAGTTTGGCTTTTAAATAGACTTTTATTCAATCAAATCTAGCCTACAAGTACAAAAGTAATCAATACTGGATAGGAAATCTGAAGATTAGGACAAATGCTTAAAGAGGCTTATTTAGAAACTGGAACCAGACAGTACATAACATCAGCTTAGAAGTCAATCTATTTCTAGCACACAGTGCATCGAGATAAATCATTCCTACTGACAACCATCCTCCCATTCTAGACTTCAAAGACTCTTTAAATGTAGTGTAGTAAAGCTGAGATGAAGTAAGAACTTTGTACAGAAAACTTCATGCATTTCACTTCCTGCCTGTGCTTAAGACACCAACATCCCATTGGGAACTGATCATATATCCCATTCCCACTATGAAAGAATTTGACAGTGATATCTAGCTTAAATAGTTTTGCCTATGCTGTCTTTTATTAAAAAAAGTAAAAACCAACAAACTTTTCTACTTAACCAGTCACTGCTACACTGTTAGCAAACACTGTACTACGTACAGACCTCAAAATCATTCTACAGATTGCCAAGACAAACCTGCAGGCTATAGACTTGCAATTAGGCTAGTTGTGGTGACTAAAGACATAATTTAAGCTACAGTGTTTTGAAGCACTTGACACTTGGACTAGTAACAATACCTATGTCACAAGAATTGTCGAATAATTTGCCCTAGCACTGAACACTTGAGAACAATTTGAACAAGTTTTTTTCATCTTTCCTACTTAAAGATGCTTCAGATAAGAAAAGTCAACAGATTCTGGAGTAGACCCCATCCACAGGCACATTCAGTTAATGCAGCTGAAAGCTAGCTTACATTTTTATTGAAGATGATCACAATCCTCATGATAAAACACACACCCCAACTGTATTTGTAGATGGTCTGATGGTCTTTTCCAGAACTGCTACCACCCCTCAATGCATGTTAACACCTTATGGCATCCATTCATTACATACCTTGCGCACAGAACTTGTAGACATGCTCCAGAAAGGGTTCATAACGTGTATTCCAAATAAAGGACTGCAACTTTTCGGTATCTTCGGACTGTTCTCAGGTCCTTCTGGTTTATACCCTAAAAATACACAGAATGAATATGCATTCTAACAGATAAATAAGACTCAATATATAAATAGGATTCAGATCTAATTCTACAGCCAGCTTTGTATTTCTGTAACTTCAGAAGAAAAACTCCTTGTAGTTAAAGACTGACACTAGTTAAAATTGCCAAAACTCTATTATATATTAGACTCCAGGACAATAATATAGTTGTCTATGAAATAATTTTTGCACCTGAATCTCTACATTCTTTCTGCTAGAAAGACACTCTGGATTCTGCATTCCATGTTTTGTCTTGCCAACTGGAAAAAAGACCATCTACTGGCTCAGCACAATCAAGAAAGATCCTCTACATATGCAAGTACTAAGAGTTATCACTTCACCATTTCAGTCCAGCACCAGACAGTACCACAACGGCTTACTCTTGCAGCATGGTTAAGTGTTGTCCTTTACATACACTGCTGACTTTGCACATTTCTGAAGCGCTCCAGTCTGAAAAAATCTCTGCCATTCCCAGTGAAAGAGATGATCCTCCCATTGAGTTTGCATCACTTATGTGTCATTTTGTTTTCATCTGCATTGGAACACCACCAGGAATAGACAAAGCCACAGAACACAGAAGTTTTTCTGTAGCTTATTTAATGGTTTCATTATGAGCACTAAGGCTTAGCGGTCTTCAGATCAGCAGTTCAATAACAAGGACTTCAGCAGTATTTGGAGTTTGAGTGTCATCTACTGTGTATGTCATCGTTTCCCTCTCTGGCTTTTAAGTGTCCTGCTATTGTTTGTACCAGAATTCTCACCTACAGCATCCCTTGTCTGGCACAGCCTATTTGCCCCACTCTTCTTTTTTTTTTTTTTTCTCCTCCAGTTCTCCTAGTTTCCCTTCCTCTTCCTGCCTGCCCCCCATTTCTGGCTATTTTAAGTACAGTTTGGGGGCAATTCACTTTATTTCTTTAATAGGAAGTTGTACAACATTGACCAAGGCAACTCATCGGATGTGAGATAAATAGAGGGAATGGCACAGGCCTCTCTTGTGGTCAACACTAAGTTCTACAGTAAGCAAGGCATTACCTGCTCACCCATTGCTTTGATTAGTTTACACAGAAAATGGTAACACTGTGATCAAAAATCTTCCTAAAAGGAAAATGTCAATCGTGTTAAAAGAAAAAAAAAAAGCAAGCCAGACAATTTAACCAAAGAAAGTCTAGCGATGGTAAATTTTTAAAAGAAACACTGATATCAAATCATAGGTATCCTTCTAGACTATGTAGCAGCCAAGCATTCAAAAAATGCAAGCACCATCAGACAAGAAAATTAATTAAATTTCCCCACTCCAAAATAATCTCAAACATTCCCGTACACATGATTCCTCCAGATATTTTTCCTCTTCAGCAGCCAGAGAGTCTCATCATTCTGAGCCACTGAAAACAGAAAGTCAAAGCACGGCTACTGCGCTGGGGCGTGCCCTGCGATAGCAGGGAGAAGATGTTTTCACTTTTCCCCATCTCCTGTCTGGAAAGCAGAGCACGCCAGAGGGCTATGCTGTGGGCCTTTTCTCTTCCACGAAACCCAGCCAGGCCAAGACAGACAGCAAGACACTCAGCTAGGAGGGTAACAAGACATTTCCTCAGGAAATTTCAGCATAACCAGAGGGTGGAGGAACTGATGCACCAAGAGAGCACCTGAGTGCTACAGCTCTGACAAGAGAGAAAAGTGCTGGAAGCTGAGGTAAAGGCTGGAAGACAATTAGCTGGAATCTGAAATGATTACAGGTTTTGGGTGGGATTTTTTTCTTTGTTTGCTTGCTTTGGGCTGATGTTTTTTTAAGACTAGGTAATATAAATTGCATTATTTCAGAACCAGAAATATGAGATACCTGAGTTGAGCAGGATGAAGAATGATGTATGTATGTAAAAACCAGCCTAACCTATTACCAGTAAAACAGGGAACTGATCCAGAAGCTTCATAACTGGTGTTAGATGGAGTTCAGTCACTGACTCCACCTTTCAGAAAGCATCTATGCTGTATCTCAGTACACGTCCAGCTTTGTTGAAAAGTTTTTCATTACAGAGATGCCTATTTACAGGCTATTAATAGCAGTTTATATCTCCAAAACATTAATTTAGCTCTAGTCAAAATACAGAATAACTTCCAGAGATTCTCCTGCTGCTTGACAGTAATAAATCATACATGGTGTTGTCCTAAACTTATTGCTAAACTGTCTCCAGTCTCATTCACCTGTTAAAATACTATTTATGATGGAGAACCAATAACCTCAGAACACCAGTTCCCAAAGGAGGATCACTTAAAAAGCCTTTCAAGGTGTTTTAGAGTTTATTTCTAATGACACTCACTCCTTCTAGCTATGCTACATGGAAGTGGAGAATGATATCAGTACAGGAAACTTATCTGCATCTGCGTATGCTCTCTAGTGCCTTCACCTCACATTTTACTACCCCACATTAACCACAATAACTTAAAAAATATATATTAAAAAAAAAATCAAGTAACAGCACATTTAAGACAGACTGTTTATCCTACTTCTCACTATGGTGAACGTCTCCAGCAGACCAGGAAAGCCAAGTCCCGATATCAATAAGGGGAATTTCTAGGCAATTTAGTCATTCAGTCTTAGATAGGGCTACAGAGTCTGCTACGAGGTACATGCCATTACAGTATCTTATGGTGCTGTACCTACTGAAACCATCAGCTTCCTAAAAAAAACCCAATACACTCTCCTCATTTTATGAAAAGGAAATAAATACATTCAAAATCATCACCCCGTCTCCTTTCACACTGTCACAACTCACAGCGCCTCATCTAAGAAGAAGAGGCTTAATAGCGTGCCACTCAGTAAAACATTCTACTAATTTCAACTACTTCAAGAATAGAAACTAACAGCAACCCTCCCGAGCGGTCCTCTTCCCATAAGCTTTTTATAGATATCTTTTTCCTCCAATATTTTTCGTCTAGTACAACAGCAATTTAAAAAAGACACAACACAAACTTGTGATAAAACATTATTTCAAATACTGCTGCTGCTTGGGAAGGCCTTCAAACTTCTATACAGCACTGCATTACTAAAGTCCTATCACACCCAGACCAAGAAAGCCACCTGCCACCAAGCACCACCTTACGCTGACGTTCACGAGCACTGACGTACACAATACATGACAGCAGTCAGAGGAAGTGTAAACTCATGCAGTACTTCATCACTCTAAAATACTTAAAAAAAGCTACCACTGATGAAAACCAAAATTTTAAGTACTTTGCTTTTGCACCTTTTCCTTCTCTACACTAGGTATTCTCATTAAAGATTACTTCTATTATTTATAACTACTGTATTATCGTGTGTCATATTTTTCCCTTGTCATCAGCAGAGTCATTAGGTTAAATAAAACATGAAACTAATTTTAAAAAAACTTAATCTGCCCAGAACAGAGAACTTTTCTAAATATTTTCTAGAAACATAAACGATTCCTCAAGAACAACAAAAAAAATATGTATAGACAAGCATATAGTATATATTAATGTAAGTTTTTATATCTATGGTTTTACATATTCTATTTCCTACCTAAAAGGGAAGCGATTGACTCCTACACCCGAGAATAAACAGAACTGATTAGGCAGAGCATTAGAGAACAATACACGTTGATCACAACACTATTACACTTTTGTCCAGCAACTACGTCAGTTTCTGACGTCAGAACTTGTTTCTCCCCAGCACACCTACTCCTGAGCTTCTTAGGACCCAAGGACTTCACTAGCCCACACCTTAGCTTACTGGGCAAGGGAGTCGCTGAAGGAATGCTGGTGGTGAACAGGAACACTGACCAGTCAAGCCTGTTTACCAACTCTTCCTCCACAGGTGGATTACACCTTTCATACCAACACCTGCTGCTATGACTTCAATCCTCTAACACACTTCTCAAGGAAATCATAGCCTACACCAATGAAAGCAGCTCTTACACAACAGCTAACAGTTTAAAAGACACAAGGCAATAACCCGTCAAGTTTCACAGAACAGTTGGGTTTGCAGAGGGGGCTGTCAGCTGGAGGACTGGTGGGTCATAAGAGGAAAAAAAAAAATAGTTCTGCCAACGCCAGACACCTGAGCGGGACGAAGCCTCCCCCGTCAGTCCCGGGCGGCATTTCGCTTCGCGGCCACAGCTGTGCCTGGCACCGCAGACCGACGCCGTTCGGAGGTGCGCGGAGCGAGGCCCGCC